TATATATATATATATATATATATATATATTTTTTAGAATTTTATATATTGGGATAACCGTAAAAACTATTAACATAAAGTATTGTTTTACATGATTGTTTCATCTAAGGTTAGAATTTAATATATAGATTAATATATATTTGTTTCATGATGTATATGTTTGTTATGTATTTGGTTTATAATATAAATATTTTTAGTTGTATTTTTTGTTTCATAAACATACAAGGATATTAATATTATGAAACAAATATATGTTAATTAATACACTAATTAAATTCAAGCCGTAGATGAAAAAAAATCATGTGAATAACAATTTGATGGGTTCTCAAATGAATGTCCATATGTGTGTACGGTGGCGGATCTAGAAACTATTATGGTTGGGGGCACACACTTAGGAGGGTCGAAAAAATTTCGAAACCGATCAATTCGTCCGAACCAAAAAAGGTTTCGGGTTTTCATTTTCAGGTTTAAACTGTTCGGTTAACCGAATAAAGATAACTAATGCGGTTGAAATAAGCTAGGCGTTGACCCTACAATTTAAATTTGTTGAGTGAATATGACTTGTATATTTACCTTTTCATATGTGGTACTGGTTATCATGCTTACTGAAATGCAATGATGTGGTGGAGAGTAACTTCTAAGGCTTATGTCTTAATCTTTTAGTACTCTTCTTAAGATGAGCACCCAAGAAGACCTACCAACTAGGAATTATTCCTTCTGCCTGATCATATAATTCACAAATAACACTTGGATCTTTAATTGTCTTGCATACTGCTTTTCAACACAAAATTGCAAAGTTAACCTAACATTTTCATTTGTCTAACATTTCCATTTTCCTACAAAATTAACCTAACATTTCCATTGGCAAAATTAACCTAACATTTCCATTTTCCTACAAAATTGCAAAATTAACCTAACATTTCTATTTTTCCTACAAAATTGCAAAATTAACCTAACATTTCTATTTGTCTATAAAATTGCAAAATTAACCTAACATAAAGCATTTACCAAAATACCAAATCATCAATTGTGAAGCAAACAACAAAATCAAAGTCATTCAAAATTAAATATTGGAATTTAAAAATCAAAATTTTTACCCAAATCAAATTAGAGACTGGAGACTGGAGTAGGTAAGCAGACTGCGTGAACTGTTACTGTGTGAACTGTGAAAGAGAAGAACTAAGGAGGGGGCCTTCATAATTTTATTGTTGGGGGCCCAACCAAATTAAATTAAAAAATACAAATAAAAAATAAAAAATTGGGCTTTCTAAACATTTTTTTGTTGGCGGCCCAGGACCCCAATGGTCTCCATGTGCATCCGCCCATGTGTGTGTATATATATGACTTAATCATTTGAGAATTCGACAATTTATGAGATTTGTAAGATTCATTCTAAGTCAAATAATTAATTAAAGAACTAATGTTATAATTAGTAAGATAATTAAAGAATTTTTTTTAGGAAAAATTCAAAAAATTTAAATATAATTTCTCTCTCTCTCTCTCTCTCTCTCTCTCTCTCTCTCTCTCTCTCTCCCTCCCTCCCTCCTGTAACATACACGTATATACCTTCACAATGTATCTGAACCCTCTCAAAGCAACGATTTATGTGATATTCGTTGGTAAGAAAAACTAGATTAAGGCACCGTTTACCTAAACACTTACCTGGTAAGCACTTAACGGTAAAATTCAACGATATCGCTTACTTACCTGATAATATTTTAGTCTACCAAAATGACATCATATGTAACAACTTACCAAGTATGCGATAACCATGGTAAGAGTTGTCGCCATCACTTACTAGGTTAGACTTTCGGTCCTTGCCTTCGTTCTTATCAAGTAAAATTCTTGGTCCTTACCATATTCATCCAATGAGGTAATGTGATTTAATAAGCGTTTACCCGAATAAACATTAAGTAAACGGCCCCTAACAGTCTTTTAGTTTACAGTGTTAATTTAAGATACCAATTTATTATACAAAACACAAAATAAGGATCATCGATTTATTTAATGCATTTTAAGAACCAAATTCAAAATCTAAGGCACAAAAGAGGGACCACAAATGTTGTTAATTTAAGATACCTTTTTGTAGGTTCTCTCTCTATATATGCTTTTTATATTAATTTAAGTAGTTGAAATATTATTACATAATAATATTGTATATATAATTATATAAACACACACACACACATATATATATATATATATATATATATACAAATGATCGTGCTAATAATAGGAGTTAAAGTGAGAAATGTATAAAGGGATGGACCTTTGATCACTTTTAATCTCAAAATAACCTATGAATTGCGCTTTAGAAAGGAATTGATCTAATGTGTCTTATTAGTGTTGATCTAGTGGTTCTCTTCAATTAGGATTGAACCAAGGGTGGAGAACACATCTTACTTTTCTCAATGTAATTTTTATTCTCACCGGAACCCCACTCCATATACATAGACACTGGTTGCCTTGAACTCGTCATCTTATCGCATCTCACGCAATTTAAAACCTTGTTATTTTTTAAATGAATGACTTTTCTAAGTTTATCTTCAAGGGATTTTTAAATGAATGACTTTTCTACAGATCATTTTCTTTCATTCAGAAAAGTCGTTTGGTTAGTAAAGTGTCACTTATTGTTTTTTTAACTGTCGATTTGGTTATGCTGGTTATACTCTCTCTATCTCGTCATTTTTCAATAATAACTCATCACCAAACATAGTTTGATTCACTCTATTCAAATTCTACTTGAATATGATTGTTGTATACTTCAAACGGTTACTATACCAGATAATTGTTTTGTCTTAGGACACTGCCTTGTGCAGGTTTCAATCAGAATCTGTTTAATCAAGTAAGAATTTTTTGATTAATTTCTATTAATTGTTTATTGTTTGTATGTTTATACTCCAGATATTGTAAGAGTCCGTTTGGTTTGCAGGAATGTTTTTGAAGGATTTGGATTTTATGAAGGAATTTGGATTTGGAGGGATTTGAAATCTGTTTGATTTGTAGGATTTGGAATGAAATTGGATTTCATTATTTATAAATAATTTATGAATTTTTTTTAAAAAATAATTGAATTACATTTTTATTAATTGATAACTACCAAACAAATATTTTGAACATTTTTTTAAAACCTTATTGCATACAATCCTTCGAAATCCCGACCATTTCCTAAGGATTTCAAAATCCTATATCTGAAGAATTTCAACCAAATCATAAGATTTCAAATCCGGACAATCCAACAAACCCAACATGAGGTTTCTCCGTTTTAAAAGCGCTCTTGAAACTGATATTTCCGATGTAGGCTACGTACCATACAAAAACTACTTGGAGAGATCTAATCGAAATATAATTCACACAATCGATACAAACGCGGAACCGCAAATAGAGTAATCGAACGATCAATAAACTCACAACGACACAACTTATACAACGTATTCATTCGCATAAATCCGAGCTTGAAGAACTCCCTTCGGGAACAACCATCGATGGGGACAACGTCGATCAACTGCAGCAACGATTACGGAGAATAACTACCCGAATATAAGATGAAGTCTGAAGTCAAGTTGAGGGTGTGTTATCTCCCTTCTGCTGCAAGTACCTTTCACAAGGAAACAAAGGTAAGTGTTTTCTGTAAGCGTGCCACAGACGATGCCCATACTAATCCCGACAATTTGTTACTGCAAAACATCAGCCCATCAGTGGCCACAATTGTCGTGGACACCTAGAATTGAACCCACGACAAATGGTCAGTGCAGCGGAAACGCGATGGTATGCCATTAGTATCGCATCCAAATAAGCTTACCCTTCATGTTTAGCCCAACGTGAAAATTGAAAGAGCTGCACTGTTTCATTTGTAGCATGGCATGCAAGAAGGAGATGGTTCCTGGGCTGCACCATCCACGCGAATCTCATGCCAGAGGCTGAATATAAACACATCACTGCATCCAAAACTTACGGGTTTATACGATAATAACCACACACTTACTACGTCTACATGTATTTAAACATGCGAATACCGACCTGCTGTCATGTTGCCTGATAACATGTCTGGAGGTTTACGGGTATCGGCTAGAGCCTGCCACATTTCAGCAAATCGTAACCTCTTAATGTAACATGATATTCGGCTTCAAGGTCCATAGAATTGGTGATAGAAGTAGTGAAAAGATAGTGAAAAATACCGCGATAACGAACCCCCAGTTGGCTATCGGACCCCAGAAATGAGTAGTCTTGGGTCCAACAGGACTGTTCAGGAACGTTTTCAAGAACTTCATTAATAGTTTTGCAGTTGACAAACACCTCTGCAAGGATACCATTGACATCATTGGCCTGAGACTTGCATCATGAGAATACAAACAATAGAAAGTAATGGATGCCTATTTCATTGACATCATCTAAAGGTTCATAGGGCCTTAAGGTCCAGAGGCGCTGGATCACAAGTGACCAGTAGCTCTGATCGACAGAGGCTCTGTTCCTGATCCTGGTACTTAGAAAAATTGAGTGAAGGGCTCAGACCGAGTCCACATGCCTCTGAACACAGTGTGCAAAACCAGAACCAAAAATGAGGCGTTTGTGCAAAACCCGAATGATCCAAAATCTGAAAATCTGTAACCCGACTTCTGGGTGAATATTTGGGTTCAGGTTATGTTTGATTTTGGACGCCGATCAGTCTGAGAACCCGAAATATATATATATATATATATATATATATATTTATCTAATTATTTTTGGAAAAACCCAAATCCTAATCTGCCGTAATCTTTTCCAATTTCAAACCTAGGATCGATTTCATGAATCTTATCGATTGATTGAATTCATCTTCAATATGATTGAATAGATATGTATATTTGCATATAAGTATGCCCCAACCCGATCAATCCCAAATCCGAAACCCAAACTTTGGTGATTGGTTTTCATATCCGAAATCTGATCGGATATTACCCGATGCACACCCATGTGTGTACTACACTTAGAAATATCACCAAGTTTCATCGTATCTTTTCAAGAAAGTTTCCAACTGAAACATATTCAAAACTTAAATCACCAACATCAAGTAGTGAATTTCTTATTGCACTGTAACTGTGGATGATCATGAAAACAGCATTAGATGACAAATCTCTAGAAATTGGAGTTCTAAATTCTTGAAGTTATGTGTGCCAATATTAGCTGCTTACATGATGATCTTGTAACTGTGGACACAACTGATGAGTTGTAAGATATTGGTAGACAAGCAAGTATGAATCTGAGGTTTTCACATAGATCCCTTACCACAATCACAGATATTACACCTCTACAGATGTTATCATATCTTATATTAGCTCAACAAGAAGCTATATATATATATATAGAGAGAGAGAGAGACACACACACACACAAATCCATACATCAAAGCGTTCATCCAGATAAATCTTACGTACCTATATCTCCCTCGGGCGGCCGTTGTTACGGATTTTGGAAGACACAACCAATTGCGATAGACTCAAGTTGTAGAAATCAAATATTATATATATATATATATACGGAGTTCTTGGAAGACACAACGAATTGCGATAGACTCAAGTTGTAGAAATCAAATATTATATATATATATATATATATATATATATATATATATATATATATATATATATATATATATATATATATATATATATATATATATATAGACTTGGGATCATGTGAGACCAATGCTTTTTCGTGAGACCTGTAAGACCAATTCTGAACCCTTGGATTAGATCTACAATCTGAAAATCTAAACATTCATAAACGCCACGAGACTTCTCAATAATTACAAAATTGCCACCGTGCAATTTAGACCATTAGATCTTTTAACTTATAAAGTCGATCAATGAACATAAATTGGTCTTACGAAAAACCCTTGGTCTCACGTGAACCCAACCCTATATATATATATATATATATATATATATATAGGAGCGTCTAAATAAAAACATGTCCTATTTTTATAAACCGTATAAACCGATCTCATCTATTCATTTTTTTGTTTAATGACCAAGATTAGTTTACTTTATTTTAAGAAATTAAAAAATATATATATTAAAATTTTATTTTATTTTAACAGTAAGGCAAAAATGGTAAACAAAATTTAACATTTGGTAACATCATTCTCAATATTAATGACACTATTTTCATTTTTTAAAGCAATATTTTATTTTTAATTTTAAATCACATCCATCAATAAAACAAATAAAAAAAATGAATATAACACACCATATTCAATTATATGGAGTGAATCGTTTTAAATTTTGAATTACATTATATGAATGAAATTGGTTTCAAATTTTAATCAACAGACTAATCCACTCCACGTAATACTGATGATATTTCGTAATTTTCATTATACCGGTAGATGGATCCGTTGCACTTAGATAACAAAAAAAATTCATCGATTACTGACTTCATAAAAGTTTATAATACAGCATGAAATTGTTTCACTTATGCAACCATTTCACTTATCAGGCTCAATACTGTTATGAACCAGTTTCACTTTCATGAAAACTATTTCATGTACAGTAATTTTCTTATTTCACCACCGATTTAATGGAATCATTCATTTAGTCCTTACAATATTGAAGATTCTGGAACATGTTACAATCTTCAAGATATGTAGCAGATTAAAATCATTTCCCCGTTTCATCATGCACTTCGTTCATGACGAACGAAATACAAAATGGCTCAACTACACCATCAATGCAACGGGTTCACCATGAAAATGTTTCGGTTTACATAATTTATTTGCAACAAGACCCGGTTTCACGTTCATGAAACCGGTTTCATTTTCCTTTTCATAATTTTTTTCAAAATGCATCGGTTTCATTTTGATTCTCATAAAAAAAAGGATTAACTACACCATCAATGCAACGGGTTCACCATAAAAATGTTTCGGTTCACCTAATTTCTTTGCAACATGAACCGGTTTCATGTTCATAAAACCTGTTTCAATTTGTGGATTTTTTTTTGTTCATCTATGTTTTGATGATTTCATTCTATAATTCAATTGTTTCATTAAGACACGTTTCTTGATTATAACTCATGACAATATTGAAATCCAAATTTTTAATATTTTAATATAATTAAATATTTAAATGTTACCATTTATACAATTTTCTTTATTACGTTTCCTTAATTAAGATTTATTAATAACTTCCATATTTAATAGAAAATATTGTAAATGACCGAAATACCCTTATTGATTAAATTTAATTAGAAAAAAAAAGAATTTTTCTATTGATCGAAATTGGTTTACACGGTTTCTTAGAAATGCACGGTTTTCATTTGAACGTGTCTATATATATATA